TGTGTGTGTGTGTGTGTGTGTGTGTGTATCTGTGTGTGTGCAGGTAGAATTTAGTAACTTTGAGCACGTGGTTGTTTCATAATATTTAAGATACTAAATAATAACAGAGAAGAAATTTCTCTGCTTGAAATTCGCAGAACATGTTGACTGCCAGCAAGGTAGATACTGACATCGAAGATGGAGATGCAATGGTAGTACATGATTTGGATCAGTTCATGCAGGTGTGGTTCCCATTGTCACTTAATACTTGATACGGTTTGATCTCACAAGAAAATGATCAAAATGGTTGTGCCATTGTGGAGCATTTTTCACAGTGTCATTCTTGTCCTCTTAATGTACAGGCACGAGAGAAGGGAAGAACCCAAACGGCCACGGGCGCCCAGAGCCTCCCAACCAGCACGGCGCTCAGCGCATTTGAGGAGCTGAAATGCTCCCCGGATCCGGACCAAGATATCCGCGACGATTCGGATGAGCTCATTGAAACATCGGTGTGTCCCCTTTCTTCTTCCACTCCATCGATAGCGGCCAAGCAATAGATAGAGTTCCGCTGCTCCCGCCAAAATGGCATGTTAAATTCAGCTGATGAACTGCTTTTGTGCTTTGGTGCGCAAGGATGGAGAGTGCCATCATGAGAAGATGGCAAGGCCGGGGAAGCGGCCGGCCCCTTTTCCTGCCACGGCTGGGGGTTCTGCGTCTTCACCTTCTTCCTCGGCCCGGGGGAGGAAGACGGACCTGGCTTCGTTCCGCGCGCCTGCGGTGAAGGAAGAGTTGGACGACCGCGGGACCAAGAAAGGACGACCTTCCCCTCATGTGCGTGTGATCGTGTACCATACTACCACGCCCTTCCTCTACGCCCTCTGTGTGCGGGCTAGTTTTTTTTCTTTTCTTTTTTCTTTGTGTGACTGCTCTGGTTTTCTTTCAGCGTTAACTAGCTTGGCGGTCAATTAATTTCCTGTCGTCATGCATTTCAGGTTGCTGGGAGGTATGGCGCGGTAAGGAGGAACCGTTGAGAATGAGATCAACGGGTGGCCCCGAGGGGATATGAATCCACCTCACTCGAGTCTGCATTTCGCTTCAGAAATTCAAATGTTTGGTTAGATCCTTCCTAGATCGATGAACTATGCGTGCATGATGTGCGTGCCTCGTGCTGCTCTTGTCTGAAAACCATTCCAGTTTGATGCCGATCAACTTCTTTTCGTGATAAAGAAAACCAGTGAGTGTTACATATGATTGTAGATTTTGGTGTGTGTGGGGTGTCCGATTCCCTATAATTCAGGGAAAACGTGCGTTCACGAAACGTCACGAGTTAGCCACTCACCCGCTTGCAACTCATTCTTATCCATATCCCTTCATCTGCACAGAGCCAGACCACATGTCTTCTTCGCTCTGCCTCAAATCGAAAATCTCCACACAGCCCCGCACACATCACCGCAACCATCAGACCGCCGCGTGCTGCAGGGGGTGCGGCCACTGATGCTGCAAGGTGCGAAGCCAAGGGGCGCTCTTTGCATGGCCGCACACCCACCTTCACCTTCTCTCCCCAGTGATGGTCGTGGTGTTAGAGCTGCGAGCAGGAGCGCGCACAGCTGCCACCGGCGACACGCAGTGCAGCGACCGGGCACGTCCACTGCCGGGAAGGAGCACGGTGTTGCAACGGGGAGCTCTGACCAATGTTGCAACCAGACGCCGCCGAGAACTGTTTTGCTGGGACCGACAATAATTTTTGCTGCCCACAGGCAAGATCGTTTTGGTGATCACACGCCAAGATGTTGGAACCAACCATTTTTTCGTTACCATAGTTTGTTTTTGCTGGAAAGTATGGACTACTTTGCTACTACCGTGTTTGTTTTTTTGCTAGAACTAGCCCTAATTTTTGCTACTATCTTCTTTTGATTTTGCTAGAACCAGCCAGAATTTTGCTACCACCATATTTGTTTTTTGCTGGAACCAGCCCCGATCCTTGCTCCTACCTTCTTTTGATTTTGCTGGAACTAGCCAGAATTTTGCTACCACCCTATTTGATTTTTGCTGGAACCGGTTTTTTTTTTGCTACCACAGTCTTCTACTTTTGCTGGAACCAGCATTTTTGTTTTTCTACCCCGGCTTTTTCGGCTGCCAGCAACACTATCGATGCCACCATCGCCATTGATGTTGCAACCTGGGGTGGGGCGGCTGTGGGGAGGAATGACATCGTGGTCGGCGCTGAGGAGCCACCATATTTGCAACATGAAGTGGTTGTTTGGATATGGGGAATTAGATGTGAGATTTTAGAAAACGAGTTTTTGGAGGATTTTTAGGAAAACCAGTTTTTATTAGTTATTCTGTTAAGATAAGTACATACAATATCTTGTTTGGATGAGGAAACAGAAAAGCATGATTTTGAGTTCTTCGTTTTGGGGAGAGAAAAATTCATGGAGGTGCAGTGCTTCTTCGCTCTTGGCACCTACACGCACAGTGGTGGACGACCACACCGTAAACAGCTCTCCGGCGGAGGTGCGCGGTTGTCAGCGTGGCCGCCAGGGTGGTCGTGCTTATCGCCTGATTATGCTCTGCTTCCTTCACCGGTGTCATGCATGTTGGTCCAGGTCCCGTCGAACGTCCCTCCGGTGACAAATTCTTTCCGCCATGAAGATCCACGTACATGCAGCTCACATATGACCTACAAGCTGGAGCATATCTGCATATGGACGGCGTGGTTGTGAAGTCCACCTCCACCATGAAGGCGGCAGCCGCGGCCGAAGTCTACTGCCATCGAGGCGGTGGAGCATCGCAACCTGCTCCCGGGTACCTGGCCGAGATCGGCGAGCTGCGGTCACAGCCAGTGGAGTTTACCATGATCTGCACGTGGGACTTCGTTGAACTCCTAGTGCATATAGAAAACACGTTTATATAAAAACGTCTATTAGTCGTTTTTATATAAACTTGTTTTTTAGGCTTTTGGAAAACTCAGTTTAGTATATCCGCGAGTTTGTTAGATAATCCAAACAATGTTTTAGGTAGTTACACCAGAAATCAGGTTTAAGGGAAACTAGTTCTCTATAATCTAGCTATCCAAACAACCAGGAAGGCGAGAAAAAAGTTGCAACGGGTCTACAACCCTTTGTATTTTTCCAACTTCATGATGACGAGCGTCGACGACAAATGACTAGGGCGAGGGCGGTGATGGCTGCCGGTACGGCCACCTAGCATGATGTCGAGGAACAGGCACTGCGTGAGGAAAGGAGGGTGGCCGCCATGTTTCCATGCTTTGTGTTTTTGAGATGCGACCGGGGGTGGTGTGTGAAAGAGATGATGGGGAACGCATCTGACGGCCAGGGGCGCATGGAACTGACGGCTCGCACGTGACCGACCCAAATTTGGGCCAGCGCGCCGGCGCAGAGTACTGCCCATAATTTAGAGGAGCAAATGGTCGATTATCCTTTAGATGAGTATATTTGCTCCTCTAAAAAATGCACCCTAATTTTTTTTAACACAAATTCATTTATTTTTGGTTATTCAGTTGAACTTCACTACTGACTTATTTTATTAAATGACATCTTTTTATACTTTACCATTTCTTCGCTAAGAGAAACGATCCAAAGAAAACTACAAAAAAAATACAGACTTCAATAGAAACATCACTTTCTTAACTACTCTTACTAGTCCGATTAATGCTTTACTCATCTCTTCACTGCCTTCATTGTTGTTTTTGTCCATTGGCTTGTCGAGCTTGTACACGTTTCTTCTCTGCCTCCTTAAACTTGGACATTGCATCTTCTCTAGTCTCATCTCTAGCAACTAGTGCACCAACATCTAGCAGATTTATTTCTTGCTACCGTTAGATCAATGTACTCTTCTTCCTAATATTTAAACTTGCATTCTTCCAGCATACAATTTTAGTAAAACAGTCAGCTAGAACAACCGTACAAAATGGCACTCACTTCGTCCCTTTTGCACTTGTAGAAAACTCATACGGGATGTTTCGGCATGCTCGAGACGAGGCACAACACCAGCTGCCATCAGTAATCACACTTGCTGACCAGTAGAGGCTCGTTGACGTGTTGCTGGGCGAGGGCTGAACCCGGCCGACGGGCGGACGTGGTTGTGCCATCGGCTGGTTGATGGGTGAGATGCGAGCGCCAAGGGGAGAGGGACATACCGAGAGGGGACACGGAGAGCTTGAGGTATCTGCGCAGTTCGGTCCCGGTCGAATCCCTCCAAACATGTTGGCATCATGGACCGGATGCGTCAAATCCAATGGCGGTGGCGACGGGCATAGATCCGTTGATTTTGATGCCGACGACGAGAAGCGTCCAAATCGAGGTGGGGGAGGATAATGGCGGGTGCTACGAGGGCAGCGGTGGCGCATGGTGGCCGACAGAGGCATGTAGGGAGGTGCTGGAGTGGATACGGCTGAGTGGGAGGGGAAATGTTTTTAGTACGCGGCTGGGCGGCCGAGTATATTTAAGAGTTGGGGTGGCCGTGGAGTAAACTTTTTACTCCCCTAACCATTACAATATACCGGCCAGGTGAAGTTTAGAGGAGGAAATTATTTTTTTTACCCCTCTAAAGCTTCATAGGGGATCAGTTAGAGATGCTCTAAGAGAAAGTGACGAGAAGGTGAGCTCTAGTGAGGAGAGAAGAGCACCACTACTTGGTTTCCCCTATCCTCCTGTCAGCTAAGGACACGAGGCACAAAATGCCTCTGAGTGAAGTGCACACACAAAGGGATTGGATCCGCTTCATCTCCAGGAGGTGGCTTGGGAGTGTACCCCAACCATGCTTGCTCTCTCGCCCTCTCTCTCATCTCGCCGCCACGAGAGGAGCTTCTGGATCTGGGAAAGCCGGCAGCGGGGAACTTCACTTGGTCTTCCTCTTTGTTATGTCCTCATTCACATCACTCCCATCCCGTCTTGTCCCTACCCTAGCTATGTCACTTTCCCCCATATGGCCCAACCCAGAGCTACGTCGTCGCCCCATGTCCACCTCAGGATGTCGTTACCTCCTAGTACACAGTCGTCACCCCGGACGCCTCCTCAGTACGTCCAACTCCACCCACCATACACCTTGCCTAACATGTGTTTGATAGAATGTCTGAGCTATTCTGTTAGCCTATTTTACAGACTTGTAGAGACACTATGGGTTTATTTACCCGTAGGTTGATGAGTTTGTTTACAACGAGTATAGTGATTGTCACAATCGGACGCCGATGACGATGGCGATGAGAATTTGATGATGATGAGCATCCTCAGGAAAATGGAGAACGAAGTAGAGCATGTTCTTAACTTTAGGGATTTGATGTTGGTCAGGAAACTTGTTAGACAGGATAGGATAAAGGGCCATAGGGATCTCTACGCCGACTATTTCAAAGCCAAACCGGCATATCATGAGGGATTTTTCGGGGTAGCTTCCTGATGAGCAGACATTTGTTCTTGTGCACAATGGTTGGTGTAACTGAATATGATCCTTACTTCACGCCGAGGAAGGATTACATTCTAGCACTCTTGCTTTCTCCTCTCTAGAAATATACTACTGCTATGGGGCTACTTGCATGTGGGTATAGTTGGAGATGACATTGATGAGATGGTCTGAATGGGAAAGAGCACATGCATTGACGCAATGAGATTTGCATGTGTCATGGTGAAGCGGTTTGGCGATGAGTACTTGAGTGAACAAAATATGGAGGACATAAAAAAGCTTTTTGTAATGAGAGCATCAAGAGGCTTTCTTGGTAAGCTCGGTTCAACGATTGCACACATTGGCGATGAAAGAACTACCCAATAGGTTTGCTAGGTCAATACATTGATCACATCAAAGAGGTCACCATTATACTTGAAGCAATGACATCAAAATACTTGTGGTTTTTACATGCTTTCTTTGGCCAAGGAATCAAATCGTAAACACAGATTCACCAAATGCAACCTCCATATATCCTATACCTAAGAGATTCATCTCCACTCTATTATTTATCTTAACATGCAGCCTGTCCACATCATCATGTAGGTTCATCATGTAAAAATGCTCTTCCACT